TGTAAAAATATTAATTTTAATTATATTTCTTCTCCACTAAGAAGATATCTTTTAATAATCCTTTTCAAAAGAGACTTTCAATATTTAATTAGAAACTCACTGGATAGCTACAGATTTTGCTGCAATTTTAATGACTGTCAGTTGAGATGTGACAGATTTGGCTGCAGTAATTTAAGATATTTGTGCCTACATCTTCTTAGTCTGAGTGTATTTGCAGAATATCAGAAACAGCATGAATAAGTCCAGGAAAGGACATTCAGAACTTTGCACTTCAACAAGATTTATATTTGATGCAAGACTAGAAATAGTAGCATCCAAGGCACAGAAATGAATTCTCTGCTACAAGGGCATGGTTTGTTATACTTTAAGAATTGTATTTGGAAAGAACTGCATCCACTGCTTTAAGAGATACTGTTTGGTTCTAAGCCTTTACAGGTGTACTACCTAGAAAAATATCCCTATCACATTGTTTGCCATGATGCTTACCTCCTTGCAATCATTAATTCACTTGTCTTCACAACTATTCCAACAATGGGAAAACTGAAATACAAGAGGTCCAAAATACCCAATAACTATTCTTATGGATGTTAAGAACACTGTTTCCTTGGAAGATGGAGGTTAAATGGCTCTTCAAAATACAGAAGAAGTCTCTTGCCTCAAGTATAGAGACAAATATTTTAAATTTCTCAGCAGATTGCTCCAGTCAACACATAATTTACAAATGAAAGGCAAAGCAAATTGACACAGTGCTGTCTCAGAGCGTTTCCATCTACTGCATTCCTGCTTATATTCCTTTTAGTCCCTCACTGATATATCATTTGCAGCCTCATGATTGCTGCACAGTATAGACTTCTCTGTATATTTTTTCCCACATGTTCAGATCACGGAAGAAATCACTGTTAGGTCTGCAAGACAGATAGTTCAGGAAATTGCAAGCAGGAACTCTTCAAAAGTGTTATAATGTTATGTGTAGAATTACACTAACTGTACAAAAAGATTTGACTGGACATCTTCCTTTACAGTACAGTGGCAAGTGATCTGAATGAGCCACTAAATTCATCTTATAAATAAAAACATTATTAAGATTTTTTAAATTTCTTCTGGATAGAAGACTAGCAATTTCTAGGTCTCAAACATACTCCAACTGAAAATCCTATTTTCAGTCATGCCTAAAAGGTACATGGCTGGGGGAAACCCCAGCTCTCATTTAGGTAATTGTTGCCCATGTCTCTGTGCACTTGGTTATGCTGTGTTGCAGAAAAGGCAAAACCACGACCAAGCCCAACAGTATTCTGTCAACCACAGCAGTGAATCTTGCTGCTGGGAAGAGGCCAGGGGAGCTCTAGCACTAATCCTGCGAACCACATCGGAGGGACTGAAGATCAAAATGGACTTATCTACTACAACAGTGAAAAGAGAGCGTTGGGCAATTGCCAGATGAGCCAGCTGCACGCTAAGGTGGCCTGAAGAATGACTGCTGTGAGAACAGTGGCTGAGTGGCCAGAGCAAATAGTGGGGGCCAAGGCTGGCCCACCTCAAGGCTTGAGGCAGTGCCAGGTCTGTATTAGGCCTCTGGCATTTCAA